CACTAAGGCTGGTCATAGTGGGAGTAACATAGGTAGTAACATAGATGCCACATAAGCAAAAATGATGATGTGGCAAGTAGTTAATGAGGAGAGAGGCAAATAGAGTAACATAATATGTTACCATCACATAGCGGTTTCCAATGCATAATGAGTCTACAAAGTAATAAATGAAGGCAACTATGTTACCACACCTATGACACTACCCACTATGAAGGTAGTAACATAGACTAGTAACATATGTATGTTACTAGTCTAAGTTACTCCCCACTATGACCAGCCTAAGAGAGAGGAGCACACGCATTTTAACTATGTTGTGTGATTCGAGACTATACTAACTTGAATTACATCGTAATGAGTTCATGCTCCAATTAATTCGTCCAAAAGTCTGAACTAATGAAGAGAGGTAGGCAATATGTTTCAACACACTCCTTCACATATAGGCTTTTTTAGTCCTTCGACCGTTAGACGTGTGATTGATGTAGACTGTAGAATATATTTTCAAATACTGTGTTGGTAGTCTTGAACTCGAGAACTAATCAACTCATCCAAAAGTCTAAGTGGTTGTTTGGTTCTCAGCCACAGTTTGCCAAGCCAAAATCTGGCAGCCACAATTTAGTTGGCATATGTTTGGTTTTTGCTACACTTTGGCTTGCCACACTTTATTGCTCCTATGGTCCACTTGTCATAGAGACAATTTTTTTGCCAAAGTTTGACGTTCAATTTCTCAGCCACATTTGTTTGCCTTGCCACACTTTGGCTTGGCCACACTAGTCTCCAACCAAACAGTCCCTAAGCTTATAGGGAGAGGTGGTATGATATAAATATACTGCATATTCTAGTAGAAGTCATATCACACCCAAGGTGCTGGTGGCATGTTTGGTTGCTGACCTGGGCTCTATGCATGAGGACAATCGATGTCTGGCTAATGAAATACTTTTTCATAGCTAGGCTGCCTAAGCTATTTGTGTACTGATCTCTTGAATTAGTATGGGCTGCTCAGTTTTGTTCGCCATGCATCTCGTTTTTGGATGAGTATGTGACTCACCTAGGCCACCTGGCTCAGTCTGGTCGTATGCCTAGATGACTGGGATTTTTTGTTGAAAAGGACCATCTACGCAAATGAATTGCTAAAAAGGACCACCTGCAAATCAATTTGACAAAAAAGATCCCTTCGATCGTGGCGGCAGGTGCGGCAGACGACAGGTGGCACCAGCCGCCACGCTGCAAGGCGGCAGCACTTTATCGCCTGACAGAATGGGATCTGGCGCCGGCGACGGAACCGCAGCGGCGTGTGGGCCCCGGCCGCCAAGGCGCATGGCGGCAGTACTGTACAGCCTGGCCCCTGCCGCCTCGTGGGCTGGCGGCAACACAATTGCTTGATCAGGCCTGATTGTAATCGATACGATTAATTAAGAAAAAGGAGGGGTTGATCACATGCATGTTGCATGCAGGTAGGCGTCGTTTTCTCTGTGAAAGCACAGAGCAACATCATTTGTTCTCTAGCGGATGTTTA